TGCGTGCGAAGTCTCCAGAAGCCCCCACACGGGTGCTTCGTTCATGCTTTCGCGTCGGATTTACGCCCCACTGCCTTGTGGGTCAGACTTTTGAGTCAAAGACTCCGGTTAGGGTTCCCAAGGAAAAACCTCTTCGTTGGTGTGGGCTGCCGCGAAGTATGCCGTGCCCTAAAATCTTAGGCATCCATTTGTAAAACCCTCCTTCCTATCTGTTTAGTACTTCCTCTTAATCCCGAATAATACCAAACGGCCGCTGTTTACGAGACCTATAGGATATCACTCAGCATTTTAGCAACAAGTCCAAGCAATCGGAAGTTACAGGATTTTTGAAGCTGGAATTCCCTTTTCACTTAGCCGCGTTCAATGTCCGCACACTCTATCAGAGCAGCCAACAAGCTGTCGTAGCTAGAACCCTTGAAACTCTCAATTTAGATGTATGCTGTGTCAGCGAAACACGCATACAACACCTCACTTCAATTATCTCCCTGCGTTCTCCTGATCCAACCTCAACCTCACGCTTCATCCTTCATGTGTCAGGCGATTCGGCGTCCGAGGCTCGCGGTGTTGCTGGTGTCGGGATCGCTGAGTATCAAAGCTGAACTCATTGGTCATCAGCAGAAATCGCCTCCTCAATTAGCTCACCATCGTCTGCGCGATCCAGCTGTCTGCGCACGTTATGAGGAGAAGCTGGGACAGGAGCTAGGAGAACCGCGACATAGTGGAGTAGACCAACAGTGGAATCAGATTAGATTTGCGATGCAGTNGATTGAGCCCGAAGTTCCCCGAAGGCATTGGATCTCTCAGGAGTCAGTAATCTTGATGGATCAAAAGCGAAGGATACCAATCTGCCAAGATCAGCATAAAGACCGGTGTCGTCTGCAGTGTCAACTCAGAAATAGCTTTAAGAAAGATCGTGAAAATTGGTGAGCCGAAATAGCTAGTGAAATCAAGGTAGCTTCTGCATCAGGGACTAGTCAAAGACTACTTCACCTGATACGCAGCACCGGAGGTCGTCGCATACCGGTCAGTGAGATCATTTGCGATAAAAGTGGACAAAGCATCCACAATAAAGAACAACGACTTGATC